GGAGACCCTGTGGGCAGTTCCACTCTGTCCTCTAGGGGCGCTGTGGGTCAGAATGGACTCCACGCAGTGGGTGTGGTTTGGGCTTTGCTTCCACGAAGACTGACAGCCTGGGAGACCATACAGGGCAGTTCCACTCTGTCCTCCAGGGGCGCTGTGAGTGGGAATCGACTTGAGAGCAGAGAGTCTGCTTTGGTTTCACAGGAAGAAAAAGAAACAAACAAGGACCCGCCCTGAGTTGCGGACAGGAAGCCTGTCCCTCCGGCGTCATCCCCTCGTCCACGGCTCAGTGCAGGACAGGCCCCCTTCTTGTCAACTACAGAGGAGTCCTCAGCCACACCAGGACTCAAGGTCTCCCACAGGCACTGCCACTACTTTTTCCTTTTGTGTCTCCTGTTTGCCTTCAATTTGAATCTTCTTTTCCCAGTTATTATAAAACATACCACTACGTAAAGCAATTTAATGATTTATTTTTTGGTGGCGTAGTGACTAAGGCATTTGACGGCTAACCCAACAGCCACTCCTCAGAAAGAAGACTGGGCAATCTACTTCCGTAGAGATACCACCTCAGAAACCCAAGGAGAGGTCGCTGTGAGGCCAAAATTGGCATTTCATGAACCTCTATTCTTGTTTTAAAAACCAACATCAAGGATGTCCCAGCATGTCTCCTCAGGGGAGATCCTTACTGTCCCTAAAATCCCGGTTTCCTCATCTGGGAAACGGAGCCAGTAACAACACCCATTATGGGCTGCTGAGAGGGTTAAGTGAATGATGTCTCTCTGAAGTGCTCAGCGATTGGTCTGTTCACTCGCACCATCTACGTGTGATTGGTCTGTTCACTCGCACCATCTATGAGTGATTGGTCTGTTCACTTGCACCATCTATGGGTGATTGGTCTGTTCACTCGCACCATCTATGTGTGATAGTTGGACAGCGAATAAGGAGGATCGAAGAGCTGATGCCTTGAACCGTGGTGTTGGTGAAGTACAATGAACGTACCATGGGCTGCCAGGAGAACAAACCCATCTGTCTTGGAACCAGTAAAGCTGGAATGCCTCTCAGAAGCAAAGATGGTGAGACTTCATCTCTCACACTCTGGTCATGTTGTCAGGAGGGACCTGTCCCTGGAGAAGGAGACCATGCTTGGTAAAGTACAAGGTGAGCAAAAAAGAGGAAGACCCTCCATGAGATGGGCTGGCACAGCACCTGCAACCGCGGGCCCAGGCAGAGCAGGGACTGTGAGGCTGCCACAGGACTGGGCAAGGCTGCATTTGGTTCTCTGGTGCATGGGGTCACTATGAGTAAGGACCAACCCCAGCACAGCACTCGGCCGAGTTCCAGCAAGCCATAAAGGCGAGACAGACACCAGCTGTCACAGGTGAAGGAAGCGTTACCTGCAGGCCCCGGGCGTGGCTACTGCTTTATTAAGATAATCACATCCTCTCCAGAGACGTTTGTAAGAGAAACACTCCATAAGGAATGAGTAACGATGGTTTTCACTACTTACATTACATTATACCATGGCACAGGAGGTCAACAAACAGCACCAGCTCCTGGTGCCATCCTACTGAAAACTACAGAGCAGCAAAGGGGGCAAGCAGGCGCCCGGACTGCAGTCCTGCCGGCATGGCCTCGGGCGAGTCGTCCTCATGCGTGGCCCGGTTCCGGATGAAGCGCTCTGTTTCGGCGACACACACACTCTACGCCACAGCAAGCAGTACAGTGAACTGCTCAGTAGGGGGCTTCCAGCCCTGGTCTTTGTGACTCCCACTGGATGACAGAGGTGCTGGCAGGGCAGGGTCCACATAGGTGTCCCTATTGGCCGAGCTAAAAGAGCTCGGTAACACTTGCCCGAACAGGACAGAGGCCAGGCCGAGAGGCCGAGGGCCAGAAAGAGGCATGTCTGAGGGCACAGCAGAGGGGAGACTGTCCTGATCGAAGAACTGTATCCTGAGTGTGTTCCTGAACCTGAACTGTAACCTGTTACGTCCCTAATAAAGCCCGTAATTGTGAGAATGGTCTGAGTTCTGTGTGGCTGTTGCAGTGAATTATTGAACCCAGGAGAGAAGTAGAGAGGGCCGCGGGAGGGAAGGCTGGTGTCAGAGGTCTGACTCCGTCTCATAGGCGTCAACCTGGGGCTGCTACTTACAGTGATTCTGTCTCCCCTCGTGAGGTCAGAGGACGCTGCCTCCAGGCCCTTTTACAACACTGTGCACCTTCCAAGAGCAAAGTACTCATTACTGGGTTTCTTCTGCCACCACAATCCCACTAAAAATTCAAAGAGGGGCTGGGGCCCCAGTAATCAGAATCCATTCCTTTCTCCTATTCCACAAATTCCATGTTTAAAACCAACCCTCATGAAGGAGCAGTTAAGAAATCAAAGGACAACTGCAAATTTGCTGCAAAAGCCTTCTTTAAAGTGAAGAGCAAAGATGTGTCCTTGAGGACTACGGTGTGCCTGACACAAGCCATGGTGTTTTCAATCACCTCACATGAACGTGGAAGTTGGACAATGAATAAGGAAGACTGAAGAAAAGTTGATGCTTTTGAGTGGTAGTGCCGGCCATGAATGCTGAAAGTCCCACGGGCTGCCAGAACCAACAAATCTGTCCCGGAAGACGTGCAGCCAGAATGCTCCTTGGGAGTGAGAATGGCCAGACTTCGTCTCACCTACTTTGGTCATGTTGTCAGAAGGGACCATTCCCTGGAGAAGGATAATATGTTTGGTAAAGTGGAGGGTCAGTGAAAAAGGGGAAGGCCCTCAACAAGATGGACTGATGCATTGGAGGCAACAGTGGGCTCAGGTGCAGCAAGGGCTGTGAGGCCGGCCCAGGACCAGGCAATGTTTCACTGTGTTGTGTATGGGGTCACCGTGAGTCAGCGCTGACTACAGAGCGCCTAACAACAACAAACTCAAAATACGTGGGGATCACGTTCTATTGAAAATCAGGGACAGATTCAGAGCTGAAGGAATCACACAGTGAAGGGGAAACTGTAATTTAGAGAAACAGCCTCAGCACAGCCTCTCCCACAAAGGTGTAAGCAAACCACGCTGTGAGAGTCAACACGATACCCGAGCTGAACAGTAACGCCTTGCACCAAAAGGATTGTTCTAAACTTGGGAAGAAAACTATAAATCACAGGGTAACCTCTAAGAAAAATGATAAACCTTCACATCAAAAAAGAGGACCAGCATAAATATTCAGCAAAT